TACTGGCAAATTCCATTAGCCGAGGACGCCATCCACAAGTCGACATTTGTCACCTCGTTTGGCCTGTATCAGTTTAAGGCCATGCCATTCGGGATGAAGAATGCCCCAGCTAACTTTCAGAGGATGGTAGATCGGCAACTGGATGGGTTTCAGGAGTATGCCTGCGCCTACTTGGATGATATAGCCATTTTTAGCTGCTCCTGGCCCTAACACCTGACCCACATAGGAGCCATACTAGACCGGATTAGGGAGGCCGGACTGACCCTAAAGCCCAGTAAGTGCCATATAGGAACGTGTAAAAACCTCCCCAAGATAGTAGTATGGGCCCCAGAGTGTGAACAGGCATTCCAACAGCTCAAGATGGCGCTCATTAAATCATCTGTACTTTCTGCTCCTGATCCAACTAAACACTTTCTCGTCCATACAGACGCTTCTATGTTTGGATTGGGAACAGTACTGAGCCAAGTCGGAGCAGATGGCGGCGAGCAACCCGGGGCTTATCTAAGCCGGAAACTTTTGCCCAGGGAAGTAGATACACTGCCATTGAAAAGGAGTGCCTGGCGGTGGTGTGGGCCCTCAAAAAGCTGCAACCTTACTTGTATGGACAGCCGTTTACCTTACTCACAGATCACAACAAATTTGGGGCACTGCGCGTGCAATCTAATGTGCCACCAGATAGGAGTGGTGTGTTAAGTAGTACTGTTCTTATCAGTTTAATCCCTGTTACGTCCCCTATCCGTTGATGTGGAGCAAGACGCAGCAGCAGAAGAGGTTGGCAGCCGTCAGCAGGTTTGCCCAATGCGCAGTGTAGGTGATATACCTGCCCTGACCATGCTTTGCAGACCAGGTATCAGTGGTCAGATGGACCCTTGCCCCAACACTGTGTGCCAGACATGCCATTATTTCCTTTTTCACAATCGAGTACAGGTTGGGGATTGCCTTTTGTGAAAATAAATTTCGTCCAGGTACCAGTGAGTGAGTGGTGGCACTGGGCACAGTATCCACTGTGAGCCTGACACACCCGCTGGCAGACAACTAACTGCTATTCAATCTATAACAGTGAAAAAAGTTTTTTGTTTTTAAATGCAAGCTATTATGACACCAGAGATGAGTGGCACTGTAAACTGGCAGAGTACACGCTGTAGGGCTGACACACCTGCTTGAAGATAACTAACTGCTATTCAATCTATAGCAGTGAAAAAAGTTTTTTGTTTTTAAATCCAAGCTATTATGACACCAGATATGAGTAGCACTGTAAACTGGCAGAGTACACGCTGTAGGGCTGACACACCCGCTTTAAGGACACTGACTGCTATTCAATCTATAACAGTGAAAAAAGTTTTTTGTTTTTAAATGCAAGCTATTATGACACCAGATATGAGTAGCACTGTGAACTGGCACAGTATCCACTGTGAGCCTGACACACCCGCTTTGAGACAACTAACTGCTATTCAATCTATAACAGTGAAAAAAGATTTTTGGTTTTAAATGCAAGCTATTGTGACACCAGTGAGTGAGTGGTGGCACTGGGCACAGTATCCACTGTGAGCCTGACACACCAGCTTTGAGACAACTAACTGCTATTCAATCTATAACAGTGAAAAAAGTTTTTTGGTTTTAAATGCACGCTATTGTGACACCAGATATGAGTGGCACTGTAAACTGGCAGAGTACACGCTTGTAGGGCTGACACAGACGCTGGCAGACAACTAACTGCTATTCAATCTATAACAGTGAAAAAAGAATTTTGGTTTTTAAATGCACGCTATTGTGACACCAGATATGAGTGGCACTGTAAACTGGCAGAGTACACGCTGTAGGGCTGACACACCCGCTTTGAGACAACTAACTGCTATTCAATCTATAACAGTGAAAAAAGTTTTTGGCTTTTAAATGCACGCTATTGTGACACCAGATATGAAAGGCAAAGTACACTGGCAGAGGTCTGCAGAGCACACGCTGAAGGCCTGACACCCGCTTTAAGGACACTGACTGCTATTAGCTTACACTGAAAAACTTTTTTTCTTTGTAAAAGCACGCTATAGAGACACCAGATATGAGTGGCAAAGTACACGGGCAAAGGTCTGCAGAGCACACGCTGAAGGAGGCCTGACACCTGCTTTAAGGACACTGAATGCTATTAGCTTACACTGAAAAAAAATGTTTCTTTGTAAAAGCACGCTATAGAGGCACCAGATATGAGTGGCAAAGTACACGGGCAAAGGTCTGCAGAGCACACGCTGAAGGAGGCCTGACACCCGCTTTAAGGACACTGACTGCTATTAGCTTACACTGAAAAACTTTTTTTCTTTGTAAAAGCACGCAATAGAGACACCAGATATGAGTGGCAAAGTACACGGGCAGAGGTCTGCAGAGCACACGCTGAAGGAGGCCTGACACCCAGACGCTTGCAGACAACTAACTGCTATTCAATCTATTACAGTGAAATTCTTTTTTTTTCTTTTTAAATGTCAAGCTTAAGCTATTGTGACACCAGATATGAGTCGTGGCACTGGGCAAATGGGCACAGTATCCACTGTGAGCCTGACACACCCACTTTAAGGACACTGACTGCTATTCAATCTATAACAGTGAAAAAATTTTTTTGTTTTTAAATGCAAGCTATTGTGATACCAGTGAATGAGTGGTGGCACTGACTGGGCAAATGGGCACAGTATCCACTGTGAGCCTGACACAGAAGCTGGCAGCAGTGGCAGACAACTAACTGCTATTCAATCTATAACAGTGAAAAAAGTTTTTTGTTTTTAAATGCAAGCTATTCTGACACCAGATATGAGTGGTGGCACTGACTGGGCAAATGGGCACAGTATCCACCGTGAGCCTGATACAGAAGCTGGCAGCAGTGGCAGACAACTAACTGCTATTCAATCTATAACAGTGAAAAAAGTTTTTTGTTTTTAAATGCAAGCTATTGTGACACCAGATATGAGTGGTGGCACTGACTGGGCAAATGGGCACAGTATCCACTGTGAGCCTGACACAGAAGCAGGCAGCAGTGGTAGACAACTAACTGCAATTACATTACACAGAAAAAAAAAAGCAGACTGATGTTCTAGCCCTAAAAAGGGCTTTTTGGGGTGCTGTCCTTACAGCAGAGATCAGATGAGTCCTTCAGGACTGTAGCGGACACTGTATACCCTAACCTAGCTATGCATTTCCCTATCTAATCAACAGCAGCTACACTTTCCCTCCTCTCACTAAGCATGCAGCTTGAGAATGAATGTAAAATGGATGCCGTCCAGTAGGTGGGAGGGTCTGCTAGGGAGGGTGTGCTGCTAATTGGCTGGAATGTGTCTGCTGACTGTGAGGTACAGGGTCAAAGTTTACTCAATGATGACGAATAGGGGGCGGATCAAACCGCGCATGTGTTCGCCATCCGCGGCGGACGCGAACACGCTATGTTCGCCAGGAACTGTTCGCCGGCGAACCGTTCGGTGCATCACTAGTAACTATATGTGGATTTACACTTTTGTGTTGTGCAAAGTACTAATATACTTCATATTTTGTGTCTACAAATTTAAATAAAGATAACTCTTATGTAATTCTAACCTTCCTATAGCTTTCAGCCTTTCTTGTATTAGGTTATTTTTTTGAGCTTCCAAATGCCCTTTGAATACACGGGTTATCCATATTATAGGATTAGACATTGCAACCTTCATTGTCATGCCTTTGTGACAGTGCTTTTTATTAACTATGTACCATATTGTAGTGGTACTCTTGCTACTCTTTATCTTAATCAAAGGATTACATTGAGAATTTGGTCTTGGTGTATTGCAATGAATACATATTAATAAAATTTTTGTTTTGTTGCTCTTCTACGGAGTTGTATGCTGTAATTATGCCTGTATTAGTAGTAATACACTTACACTTTTTTGCTCTTTTTTCTTATTTGTGTGCTTAAATGAGCACTTGTTGGTGTATATTATGAATTAGGATATTAATTAGGTTTGCTTTTTGATGATGGCTGCTGCTCTGCTTATTTCTCAGATAAAAAAAATAGCTATACCCTATATGGACAAAAGTATTAGGACACACCTCAAGTATTCAATTCAGGTGTATCGAGCAGACCCATCACCACAGGTGTATAAAATCAAGCACCTTGTCATGAAATCTGCGTTTATAAACATTTGTGAAAAAAATGGGTCTTTTTCAAGAGCTCAGTGAATTCCAGTGGTTCTGTGATCGGAATTCCACCTTTGTAATAAGTCAGTTCATGAAATCACAAAACCCACAAAGCACAAGACCACATAAAGTCCCAGAGCTGGGTCACCAAAAGTCACCAATTCTCTGCTGAATCCATAGCTTAAGAGTTCCAAACTTCCACTGGCAATATAAGCATAAAAAACTGTGTGCCAGAAGCTTTATGGAATGGGTTTCCACAGCCGAGAAAATGCATGCAAGCCTCATATCAGCAAATGCAATGCCAAGAGTTGGATCGAGTGGTGTAATGCCCACTGCCACTGGACTCTTTAGCAGTGGAAACATGTTCTGTGGAGTGGCGATCACAAAGCGACGATCACACTTCTCAGTTTGTCAGTCTGATGGGCAAGTCTGGGTTTGGCAGATATCAGGAGAACATTATCTGCCTGACTGCACTGTGTTAATTGTAGAGTTTGGTGGAAGGGGGATAATGGTATGGGGCTGTTTTTCAGGCATTGGGCTAGGCCCCTCTACTGGATAGAATTTTTTTTTTTAAATTTGTATTTTATTAGTTTTAAAATTGCATAAACAACTTTTCCAATATATTCAGGTGAGTATCTTGTGTGAGCATAGTGATATCGTAATGGGTACAATAATAGAGTCCATTAACGGGGTACTGTGACCTGAGCCCTGTCATTGTCATATTCGCTGCAAGGAATCTTGTTGGTTGCTTTGTTGACTCTAAGGACCGTAAGGGCCAGTAGCAGAGTCTTGTGATCTGTTGGATTATGAGTTTCCGACGTCATCTGTCGCTGTGCGATCCCCATTTACTTGTAAGATCAAGGTCCTGTGACTCTGGGCAATGGTGTCAGTCTCTTGGCTTTGTTGTTGGGCGGCATGCTGTGCCTGCACTTGTCGATGCTCTCCGATTCCTCTGGTTTCTTGGTAGGTGGTGGTGAGATCCCCTGCTGCGGCATGTCTGACAGGCCCGCAAATTGTAGGAAAAGTTCCAGGTCATCCTCCGATATTATTGTGCGGCTCTCTCCCCTGATTTCTGTTGGGATGTACCTCTCCATTCCCCAAATGTAGTGTATATTAGCTTCTCTTAGTTTCCTGGCTATAGGTGCCAGTTTTCTTTTTTCTATTAGAACGGAGAATGGTGTATCCGGGTATCGTCCCCTCGGTATCGTCCCCATTTCTGTGGATTGGGTGATTTTAGAAGATTTTCCAGGCCATCATAATGACTCTGGGTGCTGGGCTGGGCGCTGCCGTAGATTTCCTCACTCGAGATGTCGAGGTATCGGTGCTGCCTCTAATGCCCATGGCTGTTATGAGGTTGTGGATGTAGGGTAAGAGCTGTGCGTTGTCGAACATTTCAGAGACACCACTGAAGCACAGGTTTTTTTTGCCTGTGTCTAGCCTCTGTTGTGGTCACTATGTGTCTCAGTTGTTGTACTTGTGAGGCAAGCCCTTTCAGGGAATGATCTGTAGCCAGAAGTTTTTAATTCCTGGAGGTCTCTCATGTTTCTAGGCCTTGGACCTTCTGGTGTACCTCCTCCACCTCTGTCTGGACTTGCTGGAGGTCTTCTCTCCAGACCTGCCTTAGCTCTACCAACCTTTTTATGTCATTTTTTGAGGCAGGAGTTTCGTCTTCCTCAGACTCCAACGTGTAGGATCTGGTAAACGATCGAGGAGTGGGTAGTTATTCCTCATCTTCCAGGGAGGCTTCAGATGCCTCAGGTGTACAGCAGGCCTCAGGCATCATCTTGGGTCTCTGTGGGATCAGGCTGTTGGGCCGTGGTTCCTCTTGTTTTTCTTCCCAATTGTCTCTGCTTGGGGGTATCGGTGTCTCGGGTGAAATTGCTGCGTTCTTTGTGGCTTTTATCGTATTTATCTCTGGGTCTAAGCGGAGCTCTGCGAGTAGATATCCATGCCTCCTGGATGGAAATTTTTAATGCTTCAGCATACAAATACATTTTGGACAATGCTATGCTTCCAACTGCGTGAACAATTTAGAGAAGGTCCAGGATGACTGTGCCCCAGTGCACAAAGCAAGACCCATAAAGACATGGTTGGATGAGTCTCATATGGAAGAACCAACTTCCCCACAAAGAGCACTGACCTTCATCCCATCGAAACCTTTGGCATGAACTTTAATGGAGATTGCAACTAAGGCCTTCTTGTCCAACATCAGTGACCTCATAAATGCTACTTGATGAATGGGCAAATATTCCTACAGAAACACTCCAAAATCTTGTGGAAAACCTTCCTAGAAGAGTGGAAGCTGTTACAGCTGCAAAGACGGGACCAGCTAGATATTATTGTGTATGTATTTAGAATGCAATGTCATAAAAGTCCCTGTTGGTGTAATTGTCATACTTTTGTCCATATAGTGTAAATAGATGGCAAATTGAATGTTTTGCTATACATGATTAAAACCTTGTCAGATGAAATGTTGTGAATTTGCCAGCCTATTGGAGCCTGTTCCTTATTTTAAATTTGAAAAATAACTCAATATAGATTAACAAATTTCTCCAGAATATTAAACTGCTAAATATATCCGAGATTTTAATTAATGTTTAGAAATTATAAAACAAATATTGCAAGGAGTGGATTATGGTTTTAAAGCTCAAGGTTTACAAAATTTAGCATGATGACAACTGTAATTGTAGTCACAGAATCAAGAACCGCTACACAAATATACAGATTTGTAAAAAGTATATCCCCAACCTACTTAGCTAAAAGTGTTTTGCCAGTCCCGCACACCATGTGTGTATCAGTCAGTGGGTGTCTCTCAATATATAGTGATAGATTATATATTTATGTGCATTGGCAGCTGTTTTATTATTTGTTATGTTGTCACTTACCTGCAGCCCGTTGCTCCAGGCAATCAGTGAGTGCTACAGTGATGTAACACATACACTCCAGGCTGCCCTGTCTGTTGTTACTGGCCCAGCTTAGGGACACTTCCATGCTCATGCGGACATCAATATATATGTATACATGTTCCACATGAATAAATCACACAAACTCACTGTCACATAAAGAAAAGCTTACTGGCACACACACACACAACGTACTGCAGGCAAGTTTTCTGACACACACAAGTTGACTACAGACAAACTCACTGAAACTCACAGAAGCTCTCAGACCTACACAAGCTCGCTAGTTTGATAAAGACCTGGGTACAGGTCAAAACGTTGCGGTGTCCAATAAATCTGCTTAATTTATCACAGTGAGTGCCTGAGATTTTCTCTTTTATTTTTTTCCCCACACAAGTTCACTGGCACATACACAAAAGCTCACTACAGACAAGCTCAGTCACACATACACACAAGCTCCCCGACACACAAAATCTCACTACAGATAAGCTCACTGACACACACACACACACACACACACACAATCTCACAACAGGCAAGCTCACTGACACACACAAGCTTACAGTAATGGGGAATTTAAGTAGCCTGATAAGATTATTAGTGTATTGTTATGTGTGTGCCTTAACTTAATTTGTATCATGTATGAATATTGGTCACTATGGCAGCATCATTCCTGTAGAATGCATGTTTTGGGTGTGCCCCCAATCCTTTTTTTCTTTGCCATTGGGGTACTGTGAAGTAGTGGTGGGCTTAACATAATATGGCCATATGGTGGAACTGGATCCCCACATTTGTTTTCTTAGATAGGCAAATTTAAGTAGCCTAATAAGCTTAGTAGTGTATTATTATGTGTGCGCAGTAACTTACTTTGTATCATGTATGAATTTTGGTCATTACGGCAGCACCATTCCTGTAGAATGCATGTTTTGGGTGCGTCCCCAATCCTTTTTTTCTTGGAACACACATGTTTACTGACACACACACAAGCTCACTAACCCAAATACACACAAGCTCACTACAGACAAGCTCACTGAAATCACTGATACCATCACACAAGCTCTCAACAGACAAGCTCACTGACACCACCACAAAAGCTCACAGCAGACAAGCTCACTGACATAAACACACACTAGCTAACTACAAACCAGCTCACTCACACAAACACACAAGCTCACTACAAATCAGCTCACTCACACAAACACACACAAAGCTCACTCACATAAACACATGCATGCTCATTCACACAAACACACACAAGCTCACTGACACATACAAGCTCACTACAGACATATATACAATAACAACAGGCAGGTGGCAGCCTGGAGGGTGGATGATACATCATTGCATCACCCATGGATTAGCTGGAGTGAGGGACTGCAGGTAGGTAACAATATAACGGCCCCCAAAACACATATATTTATATATTAAGATACATCACTAAGATAAATCATATTTAGTGCCTTGGGAGTTGTATGTTAAAGTGAACCTGGCATGGGGCGTGTCCTGGCGGCGGTGCTGAGCAGACGCATGCACTGAGCGCTCCGTTCCGACGACGCCCAAAGGAGTAATTTGGCGAGCACGGCCGAAAATAAAACAAAGGCAACAGTACCCCAAGCCAGCATGGCACAAGCTAAGGGGAAGAGGCAAGCAGACAAAGCAGAAAAGACGGCATTTTTTGCCTCACGGACGCCACAGGGGAAGCAGGCCCTGGTGGAGGAAATCCAAGATGGCGCCAAAGAACCGGCGGTACAGTACAGCAAGTCCCCAAACAGTGAAACCCCCCTCACACAGGAGATGCTGAGGGCAATGCTGGAGGAGATGTCTGCTAGGCTGGAAAACAGCTTTAAAACCACAATGGGGGCCATGCATAAAAACATCCAAGAGCTGGAGGTGAGAACAACTGGGACGGAAAACAAAATGGTGGAGCTGGAGGAAGCCCACAGAGGGCTAGAAGAAGATGTGACCGAGATACAAAACCAAATGAAAACATACGCATTAAAACTAGCTGACATGGAATAACCTGAGGATACGCAGGATAAAAGAGGAAGTGGGGCAAGCAGAATTGGCAGCATACCTGCATGACATGCTGAAAAAGCTGGCACCTGCTATACCACAAGACCAGCTACTTATGGACAGGTACCATAGAACAGCCAAACCCAGCTTCCTACCCCAAGATACCCTGAGAGACGTCCTCATAAAAATGCACTACTACCATGTGAAAGAAGTGGTGCTCCAAACGAGTCGGGCGAAGAAGAAACTTCCAGACCCCTTTAGTATACACTAAAAAGGAGAGAATTTAAAAGTGTCACAGAACAGCTCTGGATAAACAAACTACCATACAGATGGGGATACCCGGTGAAAGTACTACTGTCCAGAGGGGGGAAAGTGTCTACCATAACTACACCCGAGGAAGGAGCCCGGTTGCTGCAACGGTGGGGCATGTCAGAGCCGAGCCAGCGGCGGAGCCCACAGAGGATGGGCGGCACCTCCACGGACTGGAGAAAAGCTAAAGAGAAGGCTTGAAAGATGCCAATAGATGACAATCAATACCGAGAGAGTATTGAGAGACTGGTCATGATAAACTGACCATGGAGGAACTTAAGGGTATCGTATACTGTTCATTGACATGCTGAGGGTATGCCACAGTTAGGCATTTTTGTATTATAAAAAAAAAAAAAAAAACGTACCTGGTGGAACACCAATAGGAGTAGCCTGGGCTTAGACTACCAAGACGCCATGACCACCTTAAAAGATACTGTAAGGGCCAAGTCGGGGAAAGCAACCCACCGAGAGGAAGTTAACACTTCCACACCCAGAGGTACTAAATAGTACCTAAGCCGCATATGGTAAATCAGATACACATGTTATGTTTATTAGCCCAGTTAATGTTATCCTCCCCAATTCCCCCCGGTCCAGCTGGGACCATAAACGTTACAACCCCCCCAGGTACCTACAGGACACCTATACGGCAAGCCAAGCCCAGAGGGCTCTCACTAGCATTAAGGTCCTAAAAGGTACCTATTCACCCATACGTAGGCGAGAGAGGTGTGTCCCAATACTACCCTCAAACAGGGGAAAGTCGCTCGACTTGATGCTGCTGGGGCGAGCAAACCCCCCAAATTGGTGCTTGCCCTTGGGTATGACCCTCAATAAACAAACGGGGTACAAACCCCCATGAAAATCTATTCCCTAAATGTTAGAGGGTTAAACCTGCCGGTTAAGAGACACCAATTGTATAAAGAACTTAAACACGCAGATGCGGATGTCATCTGTCTCCAAGAGACACACTATAGAACAGAAAACTATATTGCCCC